GCGCCGGGAGGGCCCCGTTGGGCAGAGACGTGCGCCAGCACGAGCGGTAGGACCCTGACGGCCCCGGCGATCGGAGCGCTGGGTTTTCTGCTTGCAGAGGAAAGATTCGTATTTCACAGTTCTATTAAAGAGAACATTATTAATTGAGTTGTGTTAATAAAGGAATTAATGCAGTTGTGCCCCGCTTTAAAAATAAAGGTCTAACACAGGAACTACCCCTGTGCAATGAAATCTTAGTGAATTACTGTATCCCGGGCCCTAGGGTGAGACCCCTGGTAAACGATAAAAGTCTTAAGCTTTACACTTCTGCAGTATAAGGTGTGGTGAAGCTGTGCGTTTTCTGCCAAGTGTCTTCCTTCCTACTTGGTAGCGTTTTGTGTGTTTATGTAATTTGACTAAAGTATTAAAAGTTAGGAGGTGACAATGCAGGCTGGTTTGTTAATCTTTCAGGGGGATTGGAGATGTGCAGCTGAGATGACTCTTCAGGAAATGGTGAATCGGGCAGCTAGCCGCTACTCTGACAGAAAAGCAGTTTGGTTTGATGAATGCAATGACAAACCTCCAACTTTCTACACGTACGCGACGGTGGTTGAGCTTGCCATGGAATTAACAGCTTTCCTTCAAAAGCACTGCGATCAGCAAGGAAAATGTGAAATAGGCCTTTACTGCTATCCAGGAATAAACTTACCATCTTGGATCTTAGGGTAATAGTTTGAATGCTTGCATTCTATGTTTGTTTTTTAAGGGTCATCTCTATTAGAGCAAATTTTCAGTTTGTTTATACTTTTAATAACAAAAATGCAGTAATACCGTAGTAATACAGTCAGGAGGCGCTGGGGTCTTGCATTCTTTAAGAAAAAAGATGACATTACAATCGTTTGAAAAGCCAATGCTAAAGCTTTTTTGTATCTTCAGTTTGTGATCTGTAGTGTCTGTAACTATATCCATTCTTTAAGAAGCACATGATTAAGCATATTTATAGAAATGTAAAAAATTAATGACTAGTATCTTTTGTTGCATGTGTTTAAAAATGGAGGTGATCTAACAGAATGACTGTGCAGCTTTTTTAATGTATTCTTGTCTCACTAGCAAAAAAAAAGATGCATTGGAGACAAATTTTATGCTTTAACCTAATTGAGTGTACAGTTACAGTTCCATTACGAATGTTGTAGAAAAAAGTACTGAGCAATGCAGCACTAAAGTGACATTGATTATTTAATGGCTAGGAAATTTAAATGTTTGTGATCTCAACACTCATGTTAATTCAGCAATTTAAAAAATCCTACTTCTGCTGATGAATTCTAATGTTTTTATCCTTTATATATGTATCTTTTATATCCATTGCATTTAGGATGTAATATAGAATCCCAGCACGGCAAGCTTATTTTCTTCAGGTGATGTATACAGCAGTGGCTGTGCTTCTTAGGGGGGATGATCTGCGTTGGTATTTTCCTATTGTCACACTGCACCTAAAATGCATAACAGTGCAAGAAGATGAATCACAGTAAACTGTGAAGATGTCGGTGAAGTGTGTGAGTGAGTGCTGTAATCATAAACCATGCAGAAGCGCTCAGGAACTTTCTCACTGATCAGAAAATACTTTTTCCCCAGCCCAGCAGTGGAGCAGGTTGCCCAGAGATGCTGTGGAGTCATCATCCCTGGAGGTTTTCAAGACCTGACTAGATAAAGTCTTGAACTACCTGGTCTGGTGTCACAGCTGGGCCCCGCTTGAGCAGGAGGTTGGCCTAGGCAGCCTGAGGTCTCTTCCAACCTGATTTATCTGATGTCCCAATGAGCTGAGCAGCAACACAGTTTTCTTCTGCTGTGTGACTGGGAGCTACCAGGGCATTTTGATTATTACAGCTATCGTTGCTGAGTAATTAACTGCTACGTATGATGCAGGACAGGCTTATTAGCTGCTTACTGGCATCAGTGGCTCTTCATGTACACAGAATGCTGCAGTTTCCAAGTCTTCGTTCCAGATCTCGTCATTACTGCAGTGATAAATCACTTGCACAAGAAGGAAATATAACTAATTGTACATGGGAACCCAGGCTTAGAAGAAATTTGAAGATTTATGGGAAGCGTTCATATTTTAGTTGCCACTTGCTCATCTTGGCTGTTTGTGGCATTAATAAATTCAAGTGCTTGTCTTTATCAAATGGAGCCACTAGAGGGGGGGATTGGAGCGAACAACTGTTGAGGAAGCACTGCGATGTAAAGCTCTGTGAGTGAGAGCAGAATGATACTTCGTGTTCTTCTGTTTATTACGGCAAAAACTCCAGTACGTGCTTGGATTCTCTTGTGCTGGTTTTTTTAGACTAGGGAGAACAAAAGTATTTTCAGTGTGCAGACTTTCAGTGGTTCTTTTAATATGTTTACACATGTTGTATGTGTATAAATGAAAAGCTTTTATTTCCGTTCCTAGTCAATAGCAGCAGCTTTTAAAATGTGGTGGTGTTGATGTCAGTGACACCTTTGTCATCACTAGCCTGCTTGGCCAGAAATAATGTTGAATGTTTTCATCTAGCTCTAATCTTTTTCCTTGCTGTAAAATAACAAAAGGCAACACTGATTATAATTTTCTTCCTACTTTATTTCCAACAAAATCTTTAAAAGTTGTGTTATGACTACATTTTCTGGGTCTGGGAACTATAAAAATATACAAGAAATGTTAGCGAAATTTAAGAGGATTTTTATTTAAAAAAAAAAAAAATTTAAACATTTTTGCCTTGTTAGAATCCTTCAAGTTCCAGCTGCCTATTCTCCTATTGATCCAGATGCACCACCAATGTTATCGACTTACTTCATGAAGAAAAGCAATCTTCAATATATTCTTGTTGAGAATGACAAAATAAATGTAAGTGTTCAGGCTTCTACGGGAATCATTAAAGGGCAGTTTAGAAATATGTAAGCTGTTCAGATTGTATTCTGTTTTAATAAGCTTCGATGGGGCTCTGTTATTTCTTCATGTCAAGAGGTTGTCATTCTCATTCAGAAAAGAACATCTTTAAATTAGAAGTGCAAAGTGTTTCTCCTCCTCTTCAAAAAAAATTGCCTACTTTCCGATTGCAGTGTTGTCCAGGCAAGCTCGTTGGGCACTTGTGATGGAAGGCTTTTCCAGGCTTGTTTCTCCATATGTCAAGGTTGAGAGTTGGAAATCTTTGCAGTAGTTAAAGTAACTCCAGCATTTAATTTTTCGGTTTCCTTTTGTCCAGCTCCTCCCAAATCTTATATCCTTGCTCATTGCAAATGGAATAGACAGGATCGGGCCATCTAGTTACAATTCAGAGTTCTTTGTCTTCTGCAGAATTCTTTTCATTATTTGCTCAGAGAATTGTTTATTTCTCATTTATAAGATCTGTGTTCACTCATACTTAATATATAAAAATACCTGAGCTTAAAACTGTCTTATGTGTGTCCTCCAAAAGTAGAGGGATGAAAAATCACAGCTTATTTGTATGAAATGCTGTTTCATATTTCATTGCATACAATAACAGTGCATCCTGAGTTCTGCTGTTTGAGTTGTTTATTTTCTTCTACAGAAATTCCGGATGTCCCATGTTGGTTGGTTTGACTGCAGTTCTTCCACAATAGAACATATTGGTTTAACTCTCTTCCAAATGAGCTTGAGCAATTCTGATTTAAATTCACAAGCAGACGATGTGAAAAGTAAATATGAACCTCTCAAAGCTCTGGATAACTCACAGCCGGGATATACCATTTGCCCAGATCAAACTGAAGTAAAAACATCAGAAGGAGGATACATGGACGTTGGCCAGAAATACTCCTTAGCGTATGTCTTGCATACATCAGGAACTACTGGGATCCCCAAAATAGTCAGAGTGCCTCATAAATGTATAGTGCCAAATATTCAACATCTTAAGTAAGTGTGATTTCCAGTTTTCCTTTTGAATGCTTTTACAATTTTGACGTTTAGGGACTCTTGTTAATACTTCAGAGAAGTGTAGACTGGGTTTTTGCTAACACTGTTTCACTTCCTCCTCCTTCCCTGCCTTTTCAGGTTTCTTAGTGTCTGTTTCTATGGCTTCTAAATAGCATCATATAAAATTTTGTTCCTCTAAATGCTATTTTTAATGTTGAAATGATGCTTTACCTGAATTTTTGAGGAGTGTACTTCAAATAATATGCTGTTGCTGTAAGTATTGCATTCTGGCTTGTGGCTTAAAAGAAATAGATAACAAAGTGAATTATTAGTTCACAGTTATACTTAGTGTGTTCTGTAGTTTTAAAATCCTAATTTCTTTTTAGGCTACCTGGGTTTCTTCCTGTTTCATTTAGTTCTTTCTAAAAAAAGTCTATTATGGAAAATGCTACCTTTTTTTCCTCTTCCTTTGTTTTTTTTGTTTGGTTGGTTTTTGGTTTTGTTTTTTTAATGAGCATTCATTAGTTGAAATACCCCCTTCTATGTACTGTATTGGTGTGTAATGTGGTGGATACCTTTGTAAAGGATCTCGTTAGTTTGATCAATAGTTACAGTTAATCTTGATGCAGGAGCTCTTGTCTGGCCTGCATATGCCTACATATTCAGAGTAGCCCTTAATTCCTTAGCTTTGCTAAAGTGCATCTCTTTCATGCTCCTCTTCCAGCTCGGAAATTTTTTTAACAAGATGCATCAGATTTTTTATTCCTAGCTTTCTTATTTTAGATCCATATTTGAAATCACACAGGATGATATGCTATTCCTGGCTTCTCCTCTAACATTTGACCCATCTGTGGTTGAATTGTTCATTGCTCTGACAAGTGGAGCCTCTGTTCTTATAGTACCAAACACTATTAAAATGATGCCTGTGGAGCTGTCTGCTGCTCTGTTTCACCATCACCATGTGACAGTGTTGCAGGTAGGCAACAACCTAAGATAAGTGTCTTGCATCTCACTTTTGCTAATGGGTACTACTTTTTCATCACTCTGGATGCTAATGATGACATAGCAGGAGCATTCTTCCTTGAATGTGTAGCTCATGCTATCCTCTTTGCTGTGGAGTGCTAGCTGTTTAGAAAATTACCATTTTCTAACTGGTTGTTTGAGCCAGCCTCAAACATTTCCTGACGGAAGACAATGAACTAAGATAAAATCAACATTCATCTCAAGAAAGCATTAATTCTTAAGAATTAATTAAATTATTCTGTTAATTAAGCAGTTACTTCTAAAGAGTCTGGTAATGGAGTAACCTGTTACAGACATTTTTAGCACTTTTTAATGGGCTTGATCTTAGAACCTTTCCTCATAAGCAACTTTTTAAGTTTTAATGGTAGTCTCTATGCTAAAAATACAACAATTAAACCAGCACCATTTACAGGGTGGTAAAATGTTTGTCATTTTTACAATAATGAGAGCAAGAGAATAATTGGTTCCACAGCAACACATTTTTTTCAGGGCACCTGTTTATATGAGGCTTCATGTGCCCCTTATGTCTTGGAATAGATCATCTCCTATATGATCTCAATTTTAATAGTTTTAAAGTTAATTTTTGGAAAATTTACTTGAAGTTATGAGCATCCAGCATGGCTGAATAAGCCTAGCCCTTGCCTTGTAACGGGGTACTTTGTAAAACTATTTTTAAGTATTTTTAAGTATAGGAACTTAAATCAGGGTTTGGGTGGAAGAGTCACAAGAAATGGATCTCACTTGTCACCAACTTTGAACAAAATTAGTATGGTCTGATTAGTCTATTAACTGTGATAAATCAACCCCTAAGCCTTGCTTTGTCATTAGTGTTTTAGTTCTGAAGTATTTGCACTCACAGAAATGCTGAGATTTCCTTTTCATTTGGAGGAATGGTGGTAGCTGAGACTGTAGGGTATAGATTTAAGATTAGTGACTAGTTAGCTGAAGATTCCACAGCAGAAAAAATCCACTAGTTACAAATATTTTGTAACTTTATTCTCTGCTCTTATTTTTATTAATTATGATTGCTATTATTCTCAGTGGTGTAGATTTTCCTGTCATATACAGGTTTCTTGATCAGTTTAGCTTACTTGCTTTTAAAAAAAAATTTCAGATATTAATCTGTTAGTAAGATTTTTAAACCATGTTTTTTTAATACTTTAAAGGATTTTTTTAAAGCATGTTAACCATTAATAGAGAAAGGTGAAATTTGGCGAATTAAGGTATTTGAGATTTCTTTCTAAGAAAAGTTTGATTTTGTGATTTATTTTTTTTGTCATTGTCTGTATCAGTGGAGGAAGGGCTTCTTAGCTGAACTAATGACAAAGATGTTCTCCTTATAGCTTAAATAATGATGAATAATTTTATGATGTTTCTTAAATTATAGTGAGAAATACCCTTCCCCTCTTGACTTGCTTGAGCATACTTGAGAAATCTGAAAAGTGGTTATGAGGAAGGGGGAGAGTAATTTTTTTCCCGCCTTTGTTCTTCACTATAATTCACTGAAGTTAAAATGATCAGTTGAAACGTGATGGTCTTCATCTATTACTAGAAGAAAATAACCCAGTAAAAAATAATTCCATTAATTTTCCAGTCCTCTTACTAGAAAAAGTAGGCAAGAATGATAGTGAACTGTGTCTGTTAAAACAATTTGTTGTTTTTCCCTTCAGGGAAAGGGCTGTACATCACCAGTAGTTTTATAAAGGAAGTTGTATTTAAGGAAGCTGGTTTGGTTTTGGTTTTTTTGTTTGTTTGTTTCTTTTATTTTTCCCCTGCTCATTTTAGAGTGTGATGTGAAAGCTTTCAGGAAAACTAACCTTTGTAAACTGTTATATTTACACAAACCAGGAACAACCCAGAATCTGGCATCCTAGGAGTTTTTAGTGTTATGGAAAGGTGTTTAAAGTTCTATATGCAGGTTAATCAGATGTGTAGGTTGTATTTTAGCTGTAACATGCTGGAATGAAGGGAAAAAAGCTCAAAGAGTAACATCAAGAGAATACGGTGTTTGCTGCTTTCTGTTTCAAAGTAATTAACGTAAGAACTGACGTGCACATAATAGCTGAGACACAACAAGGAGCTCATAACACCTCTAAGTAAAAAAGAAACTCTGCAGAAGGACATAGATTAGTGCTGATAGTACTCATTAAAGGCTTCACATAAGAAACAAAATCTCACAAAACACCAGCTTGATCTGTACTGGTATCTGATGGTTGATGCCTTCTACTAAACATAGATGATTGTTAAGAACATCCACAATATAGCTATGCAGTGGATAAGATAAAGCAGGAAAAAGTATACACATGTACTGAAAAAATATAACAGATCTTTTCTTATCTTTGTGTTTTGTTTTTTTTTTTTTTTAATATGTATCATTCAGGCAACACCAACACTTCTCAGAAGGTTTGGAGCTCACATAATTAAATCAAGAGTGTTGTCTGCAAATACCTCACTTCGTGTCTTAGCCCTTGGTGGTGAAGCATTTCCTGTACTGAATCTCTTGAAAAGTTGGAAGCACAAGGAGAACAAAACAAGTATTTTTAATCTATATGGTATTACTGAAGTGTCAAGCTGGGCCACTTGCTACAAGATACCTGAAGAGGTTTTTAGTGCTGATTTTAGGTAGGAAAATTCTCTGGTTTTGTGGCTTGGCATGCGAATGATGAAAATTACTAGAAATAGAATCTCAGTCTCGTGTTTCCAGGGCTACTGAGTCCTCATGAGTGTTTATGCTCGTAGAAATTACATCTGGTTTTTATGTAGAAATAGACTAATCCATTCTCTCTTGCTCTAATACAGCCCCCTCAAGTAGAAGTTGTTGATGAGTGATTTTTGAATGACAGAACTGTGGTCTGAAATTCTGTGTACTTACAGACCTGCTAAGTTTCATGTAATGTGTCATGATGGTGTCTGTTTTAGTCATCTCTGTATCTAGACCTCTTCCTCATTCCTGTCTGTGATTCCACATGCTGAACCTGGACTAGCCTAGTCCAGGGTATACTGTCTCTGAATATGTGGCAGTACTGAATCAGTGTTGCACTTCTGCAGGCAAACAGCTCCTACCCAGTTTGCTAGTAACATCAGTTAGCCATACTCTTGCTCATCATGAGGCTTTTCCAGTAAGATCTTGCATGTTCAAGGAGAAGAAACCTAACAGAGCTGTCTGAGAGTAAAGAAATGGGGCTCTGTAACTTAGTCATAGCCTTGGAACAAAGATACACCCCTAGGTTAGCTCTATCAAGTTCAAAATGTTACTTCTGAGATTTATTTATTTTAAGCAAAAGTGCTCAAAGATTGCTTTCAGATGTAATCAGTAGATACATGTGTGTTTCTTACTGCTACTGTGCTTTTGCCTACAGTTTTTAAAACTCCACAAATAATCAATTAAGCAGAGACTAAGTACTGATTTTTTTCTAATATCGTATAATATACTACTCAGCAAATGATCCCACTGATACTACTTGAATAGTATCGATGACAGAAATTTGCCCAAAGTGGCTCACCCAGGGTCTCACGGTAATTTTACTTCAACTTCCAGAAATACTTTCTTTTCATCATTTAGCACTCTCCATTTTCACTCAATTACTGTCTTTTTTTTTTTTTTTTGGTTCATTGTATTTTATAAAGAGAGTTGTAGGAGTGTCAAGGTCATGAAAGGTACTTCCAGTTAGCTTAGTGTTTCATTTGCTCTCTGAAACATGAAATTATTCCCTAGCATGATAATGATACATGTGACTTGAGTTAGATGTGTCCTATGAAATGGGATGTTTTGGACAAATGATGCGATATCTTAATGTGGTACTTAAACCCTTGAAGACTGAAAACGGTGGATGGTCATAAAGTGTTATTAAATTATCATGCAAAGCTCATTTTCATTCTGAGTTCAAACATTACCTTATCAGTTAAACTGTTTTTTCTACTCAAAAGTTTCTGTGCTCCAGATGTAATGTGGCGTTCTTCAGTCTTAACTGAGGTGCAGTTATAATGATGGAAGTTTTTATTACTGACTGTTGTCTCCCACCCTTCACCTCAGAGCCTGTTCCCTCTGAACCTCATTGCAAAGGGAATTAGGGCTCCTTTGCAGCAAGCAGCCCCAGATATAACAAAACCAGGACAGACCACTCTGTCTTCTTCGTTTCTTAGTATTGGTAGGACAATTGCTAGCTGAATGATGAAAACTGGCAGGGTTTCTAAAGAACACTAGAAAACAAAAAAAATTCAGCACAAAGTTAGTGCCTTAGTGGTCTGCACCTCTCTGGTTTTTAGGTAAGTTTGGCAAAATTAAATGTCAGATCCCAAGTCTCAATGTCCAAATGAGGTGTTGTTTGTCTTTTATTTTTGCTGTTCTATGGTATATGTAGGAATCTTGGGGTTTTGTTTGGCAATGTTAAATTATGCTCTTTTTTGGTGTTGTCTTTGTGTTGAAACTTCCCATGGTATGGGGCAGACACACTGAATATCTGGGATGCTTTCTCATACCTATTTGTCAGGTAATCATATCTTGAAGCTGACTGGAGGAAGGGAAAGGAGAAGGTTCTCACTTAGCGGAAATACCCATTATACATAGTTTGACTGCTTTTTGGTCAACTTGTGATAAAGAATTAATTGACTGACCAGAGAAAAGGAGAAGTTTCAACAGCCTAAATAATGGAAGTTGAACATGACCTGTTAGGTCAAAATATACTTCATGACAGAAATTGAGCTGGAACCCATACCTAACTTCACATATTACCAAAGTTATTTAAAGTTACTTTGCTTTTTAAATTTTGCTTTACTGAAGAAACTACATTATTCGCTACTCCCATTCAGAAATATATTCAATAAATGAGGTTCTGCAAGTGCTTGAAGAGGCTTCAGAATGAAGGGAAAGGAAGGAGTTGGTCTGCAGCTCAGTAGAAATCTGTAATAGATATATGACATTGAAATTACAGTTTCTTTTATTTCAGTCTTTTCTGAGTCAGCTGTACCTGTAGCCACAGCATTGGTAATAAAGTAGAATAAAAGCTAGATAGGACAGGGAAAGAATGAATTAAAAAGCAGCTCAATCTGTTTAAATGGGTTGAGCTTGGTGGGAGTTTAAACCTGGGGAACTTAAAAACTGGCTGAAACTCTCAGGGTACCCTCAGGGTGTTTCAGGGTCCATTCAAGGCTTATTTTCTGTCATTCTGTGTTTTTTGGTATATGATAATGAAGCCCATGCACATTGATGAAGTTTTAAATTTTGAACAAATTGAGATGTTTTTAAAGGAGAAACATTTGTAGAGGGAAGCCCCAAGTATCTGCCTTTGCTCTAATACCAATCCTTTAAAAGACTGTATGCTTAGTCATTTCTGGAACAGTTGTTTTATGTTCAGAAGAGAAAGGTTTTTACTGTTTTTCTCTCTTTAATGTATTTAGGACTGATTTCCCTATTCCTTTGGGATCACCACTCCTTGGCACAAAAGTTGAGGTCAGAGATACCAACGGTTCTGCAGTTCTAGAAGGCGAAGGACAAATATTTATAGGTTATTTGCTATTTCTTATTCTTGTAAAATACTTCTCTTAATTGACTGAGTTTTAATAATAAGTTGATTATTTTACTTGGTGTCTGGCTCTGATATGTGATTAATATAGCATTGTAAATTCCCATGGGGCTGAGAACCTTCTGATAGTGTTTTAGGTTGTTGGAATAATGAACAGAAAATTACCATCATTTTATCTGCAGACTGTGCTTTCATTATATTGACTTTTTTCCTGCTTGCATTTTGACATCCTCAGTTGAAATAATTTCTGTGAATTAACTGAATTAACTACATAGCCCAATTTGTACGTTGCAGAAGTTTTAGACATTGGTAATAATCTTTTAGTACTTCTTATAATGCTTGTTAGAGTTTAGGACATTTTGGTAACATACTCATTATAATTTTCATTTACAGTTAGCCATTTAATATATAAGAAGATGATCTTTTCTTGTGTAGGTGGTGAAGAACGAATCTGCTTTCTTGATGCTGAAATAACTGTACCCCTGGGTACAATGAGAGAAACAGGGGATTTTGTAAGAGTGCAGGATGCAAAGTTGTTCTTCGTGGGTCGGAAAGACAATCAGATTAAACGTCACGGCAAACGTTTTAATATTGAATGTTTGCAGCAGGTAATATAGCATCTAGTGGGAAGAGTGTGCCAGTAAAAAAGAGCAGGCATAAGGAACACATCGTTATCATCAGAAATGGGTATTTACTCATTTTCAGATGACTTTTAGGAGTCTAAAAGAAATTGGGAGGGTATGTTATCAAAAATCTAGTAACATAATTTAGGGAAGAGTTTGGTTCTGAGTTCTTGGAAGTCTGTTTTATTGTATGGTTCCTTCCAGCAGAATTGAGAACTCTCTGAACACCTGAAAAATACTGGGTGTTGCACTGCAATGTTTGTAGAGTGATTGTTCTACAAGATTGAATGTCAGACTCATGGATTATATCTCATTTGTGGCATTTAGGCAAATAATACATATATCTGAGTTAATTTTTATGTTTAGAAGTACAAACTTCAGCTACAAGAGAAGATATTTTATAGGGTGTTACATAGGAATGTGAGACAAATGCAAGTTTTAAGTGTGTACTTTTGTGTTTTTTATTCTATTGATGAACTGCATTTCAAAGCAAGACTAATATTTTTTAATTACAGGCTGCTGAAGATCTTTGTCAGGTAGAAGCTTGTGCAGTCATCTGGTATCGGCAAGAAAAACTTATCCTGTTTGTTGTACCCAAAGATGATTTAGAAGAGAGAGAAACACTTAAAGAACTCCAGAAACGTCTACCAGCTCATGCAGTCCCTGATGAGCTTGTACTCATTAAAGCATTGCCTTTAACACCACATGGTAAATGAAACTGTTAAGTACCCTTGACACTTATTTCGATGGTCTTTATTCCTTTTTAATTCTTTTTTTTATTGACCAAAATCTGATACCTGATTCATGCCTTTTAAATATGTAGATTAGATAACTAACTCCTAATAGGAAATCATGCCCACGTATTACGTTTTCTTTATAAAGTTTAATTTGCGAGTCAAAGAGTAGTGGTAAAATCAATGTAGCATTAACACTGCACCTGTCTTTTCTCAGTTCTTCCTGTTGCAGTCTGCAACAGAATGCTGACTTCAGCTGGGGAAAGATCAGATTTTGAAGGTGGGATTATGTGGGAGGCTAGGGTAAATTTTCAGAAACCTTACTGGGTTCTGTGTAGGTGATTGACTGGGGAAAAAAACCACAGGTGCAGCTGAATACAAATAAGGAAGTGTGTACAAGAATAAAGTGACTGTTTGGGCAGAGCAAGTTTTGGAAGTGTAAATGCTAAAAGAGCATTGAAAAAAATCATACTTTATTTTTTACAAAGGCAAAGTTGATATATCTGAACTGAACAAGATTTACCAGAACCGTCTAAACTCCAGAAGGCGTGACAGTAAGCTGAGTGGCGCAGAGGAATTGTGGGAAAGATTGCAGTATTTATGGAAGGTAGTATTTTGAGCTGCCTTTTTATCTTTGCAAGTGGATCATTATACATGTGTCAGGAATTAAACAGTTTTAAGAAGTATGACTAATACAACCCGAATATTCTAGCTGCCTATAGATTTAAGCAGTACAGCTCTTTCTGTTCAGTTAATACTTAAATATAGTCTCTCTGCAGTGGCCAAGAGGGAGTAATTTATATTTCTCGATCAGATAAAACTGCAGGCTGTGAGGTATAAGCAATTAGCATAGGAAGGATGTAACGTGTCAGTAGCTTTTTGAATACTGCTTCACATGCCAAAGAAGGTATTCCTAAGGGAAACCCTTAGGGACTGGGACATGGAAACTTTGTACAAAACAGCTACTGTGTTAGTAGACTTTCTTATTTCTAAATGTAATTATGAATTGAAGAGTTTTTTTAAAATAGATGGCACAGTTGCGTAATTGTCTCTTGGACTGTCTGTTCGTATTGTTTCTAAATTTCCTTGCTAAAGACTTGTTTTTCAAGGTGCTGAAATGTGATGCCAAACAGTATTACATTTTTTTTCCAAAGATAGACTTCCAAGTTTCACCTGAAAGTGGGATTTGCTGTGGCTAGGACTTGAACAAGTAAATGTAGTGAAATTAGTAACACAGTTTGCTTGTGCTGATACTTACTGTATTGGTGGCTATAGAAATGATAACCCAAAGGGATGGGATGTGCCCTAGGCCCATTATGGACAGCAGAAAGCGGCTTCCAAAACCAGAGGATTTGGACTTTGCACCCAGACTTAACAAGCAGGGAGTACAGTGGGGGGGAGACATAGTAATTGCTGTTTGTTTTAGTAATGATGCGAAATCCAAAATCCTTCATGAATTGAAGGGGTTATAGCTTCAAAAGTAGGTAGATAAGTAGGTTACTTAAACAATTCAGAAATAAAAGATACCAGTTTATATAAGTTTTATTAATAAAATAAAGCACCTAAACCAATTTTATCAAAAGGCATCAATGTTTTATCTGCGAAGTTGTCATTAATAAATGTTACGGGGGTTGAAAATGGCCAATAAAACAGCAGAATTTGCTTTAATTTCTTAGACTGCAGAATTGGAATTGAGCAAAACATTTTGTAGTACAGAACGAGTATCCCCCTTTTTTGCTGTTCCTTCCCAACTCTTGTTCCATCGCTACCTCTAGTGGCCCTAAAATGTTTTGTTTGATTTTTTTTGCAGGGTAGTGAGTTTCCTCAGTTGTTGATTTTTAGTGGGACTTCCAGGTATTCAGGTGGATTTTACCCAGCTTGAGTTTTTATGTGTGTGAAATGCTGTAACACCCATGGACTGTTACCTCTTTCCTTCTTCTTTTCTCCAGTCTGTTCTGGGTCTCCTAGGTGAGTCCACTGGAATTCCTAAAGATGCAGTATTTCTATACAGTGGTGGAGACTCCTTAAAGGCTCTACGATTTTATGATGAAATTGAGATGCTAGTAGGCAAAGCTGTGCCTGGACTCCTTGAAGTTATTCTCAGCCGCTCAATTGAAGACGTTTATAGACATATTCTTAAAATTCTGTTTCCAGTTGAAGACCAATTAATGAATGATGACAATGTTGTGAAAAGAAAATTAAGTGGGAACAGTGGAGAGGACTTCCATGGAAAATATATTAAGCTGGAATCTGAAAGAGGTCTTGAGGTTGCCTCAGGGTTAATTTCATCTATTGCGCTAAGCAGAGGAAATAAATTTTTTTCTGTGAATTGCACCAAGTCTTTTATGCAACCCAATAATACAGTACAGGTAGGAGTGGAACTGCTACAGCAACCATCCTTTCTGCATTTAGTGACTCCAAGTGTAATGAACAGCCACGCGCAAGAGTATGAAATGGAGAACAGAATTTTAACACTTACGAACAAGGCAAATAAAACAGACTGTTGCTCTGTACAGCAGATCCATGCAGACTGTAGCCATGTGACAATGGCAGAGTTGGCATTATGCATAAGATGGAAGTCAAATACAAGAAAATGTGTTGATGCATCACCACTGGTCGTAATACCATCTACAGAAGGAGTATCTGCATCTGTATATGTTGGCTCTCACTCTCATGCAATGCAGGCGATAGATCTTGATTTGGGAGAAATAAAATGGGAGCAGAACCTCGGAGATCGTATTGAATCTTCTGCCTGTGTATCTAAGTGTGGAAATTTCATTGTTGTTGGTACGTCTTTTGTTTTAACCTTCATTTTAAATTAATTTTTCTGCTAAATACAAGATGAATGACAGAGAATCTTATTTCTTACCTCTGAATGCCCTCCTTCAACACTTACCCATAAATTTCCTTATCTGCTTCAGAACTAATTTATTGTAAAATAGAAGCAGAAGGAAGAAGTAATTTAAGTTTCATGATAACCAGTGATGGAGCTTATCTAACATACACACTTGTTTATGATGTGCCATTTTATTACTAAGGCCTTAATAAGGAATAGTCAGTGGGTACAGTTTCTTTGTAGTGGTTGATTAAGGTGTGACCTTTAAATTGTTTTGTTTTAAAAGGGATGGAAACATGATGCAGTCTTAAAATGTCTTTCAAAATTGATAGAGGTAGAAATTAGTACATGGTGCCTCAGATTATTTTTCACGGAGTTTAATTATCTCGTTTAACTCTTCTTTTTGGAAATGTAAAGAATGTGTTTGGATAGGGTTTTTTTGTTTTATCATATCCGTTGTCAACAGAGTTGCCATTATTCATGTTAATGTTATCTTTTTAGCTAATACGTATATATTGCTGGTTAGCCCAGATGTCCAGGTGGTGACGTTTTTTATGCAAAGCTCATGTTCCCATCTTTTTGCTAGTATTTTGATTGCTATTTACTCTGATAACAAAATTGAATGTTTCATGAAAACTGAGGGAGTTTCTAGAACTACAGTTCAGTTTTCATTAGAAAACATACAGACTTTTTTCTTTCAGCATGTTTGTTTCCAGAAAGGAAAATTAGGGAAGGGGGTAATTAAAAAAACATCCTTATTCTCCCTTCTCAGCAGCTCTTCATGTCTTCTAATATTATTACTGTAAAATCTGATAGAAAGACAGTGGAATAAGTTATATTCTAAATGTAACCTGGAAAGAACACACAGAACAATCAACTTTGAATCTATGAACTATCAGCAAAGACTTTGAGCTAAAAGAAGAGGAGGAGCTTTGGAAAAGTTTTGAAACTGTACCTTGTGAGTCATCTTATTTCTTTCTAGCAGTGATGCAGCTAGCAGCATAAATCACACCATAAGTACAAATATTCATTATCCTTCTTTACCCTGCTGTATTTTATTTCACACAGGTTGTTATGATGGTTTAGTGTATGTCCTTCAAAGCAGCAACGGAGAAATACACTGGACTTTTGGCACAGAGGATACTGTGAAAAGCTCTGCAGTTGTAGACCCTTCCAGTGGACTAGTCTACATAGGATCACATGACCAACATGTATATGCTTTGGATATTTATGTAAGAGCACTAACTTTTAGGTATAGAATAATAAATATCCAACTTTGACCTTACTTGTAGTACACCAGATGAAGCTCCACTGATGGTAGTACTCTCAGGAGCCCACAATTAACACATCTGAAATATTTAGGCCTGCTTGAAGTGGGGTTAGGATTATGTGGTAGTAAATAGTTTTAGTGGTGTTCTCAGCTGTGGTTCTTGTGCCTACTAGTCCTGGTTGAAACCAAATCTTAAGTTTCTTAGTTATTAAATTCTCTGTGGATGTTTCAGAATAGGGTGCCCAGCTAGAAGTAGAACTATGGCTTAATGGAGGAGAGAGAATCTTACCTTCTAAAAGAGTAGATGAAGGGAGGTGGAAAATAACAGCAGCAGATACTGCCTCTTCATTAGCTGCATTTCTTTTATTGACTGGAAGAGAAAGTAGCCAATGGCATATGTGTTGCTGTAATGGCATGTAGATTATATCTTCACTTCTTAACTAGTATTTGCTGAGTGAATGCAGTGTTTGATAAGCTTTGACATTCAAAGGTCTTTGTAAACATGATGAGTTTTAACTCCAATTGAAATTTTTTTTATTTATCTTTTTTCTTCTGCTTACAGAAAAAGGCATGTGTATGGAAGTTACATTGCGAAGGTGGAGCTGTGTTTTCATCTCCTTGTCTAAGTTCTTTTCCACATCATCTTTATGTTGCTACACTAGGAGGACTACTATTGGCTGTAAACCCAGTATGTACCTTTGCTTACTTGCCTTTGATCCCAATCTCAAATTTAAATGAAACCAAAATGCATTTCTGAAGTTAAGATCACCTTTCTGATGAAAGGAACTAGATGATCATATGTTACCATGGTTTTCACTTGAGGGCCTTATTATTATACACAAGGTTACCATAATAATTCCTGTATTTCAGAAAGCTATCTGGTGATAAAGAGAACTGAAGTGCCTGTTTGAATTTACATGCTGACTGTAGGCCAAAGTTGGAATCAGTGTCTTCTCATTCCCATATACTACCTCATCAGTTAAACTAGTGAGTGAGAGCATGTCTGTAGGTTGTGGTTTTTTTTTTTTTCTCCTCCCTCCCTTTGACAGTAGGATTAGAAAAAAAAATTACACAGAACGTACTGAAATCAGAACAGAATAGAGAAAGAGCCCCCTTCATTCCTCTTACTGTTTCCCTTCCTGTAGTCATTTGAAGAGCTGTCCCCATTAATCTTGGACTGCTTTTCTGTTCTGCGCACTGGGGAAATGGCATTCTTGATAGATGTGGGGCAATTTCATGGTTTTCTGAGGCATTGTTGGCTTACAGCTGGTGCTGCCTGATACAAGGAACAGTCACTTGGAACAGCTGTGCATGTTTTTGTACTTGCACAACCCAGAGCATCAGTGCTAACCATCTTTACCTCCCACCCACTACAAGTTTCCTCAGTAATACCCAACCTAGTGGTAGAAGACCAGTGTATGGTTTTGCAGCTCTAGTGGGTTGTTGTTAAGAAAAACCAGATTATTTTCTTTTTTCCGTAATCCTGAGTAACAGGTAGTTGAGAAACCCAGCTGTAACTCCAAGTGGTTATTTATAAAAATAGGAATGTGCAGGCTACATTAGGAGCTTATTGAGACAATCATAGATTGTGGGCTGCAGCATTTCCTACAGTATTTATAGTTTATGACATAATCAATATGACTTGTTTTCAAGATATCCTCTTCTTCATTGGTCCTCGTCACATACTGAGGAGCTGGGAATGTAATAAAAAATGAATTTGTCATTTATTAAAACTACTACTACTATGCTATTATCATTATTATTTTGTCTAGGGGAATGAAGAGAAGGGTGGAACAGGGGTATTGAGTATCCCAGGGAAAACACTAAACATTTTGTTGGAGTAAGATTTGAAGAGTAGTTTTGCTTCTGGTATGCATTCCGGATGGGAGACGCCTGCTTTTCTTTGCAGCGTTCCCCCCACCAATTCTTAAGGGCTGGGTCAAGCTGTGAAGGAGGTGTTGTTTTGTGCAGCTGCTTACAGTTGTGTTAAGTGTCAGATGTTCCATGCTGCCATTTACAGGTGACTGGGAGTAAGATTTGGAAAAGCTTCCTGGGAAAACCACTCTTCTCCTCTCCTCACTGCAATGAGAAGTACGTTTGTGTTGGGTGTGTGGATGGAAACTTGTATTGTTACACTCATTCTGGAGAAAAGGTAAAAGTGTTGTTTCAGGTTTTTTATGTTCCGCACAAAACCCTGAATAAGATGCTTTATTAATACTGTTTTCTGAGGTTTAATGATTAACATACACTTTTTTGTGAGCCAAATAGAAGTGTCTAATTACTGTTGCAGAGAGGAGAAAGTAGAAAAACTGTTTGCCTAGGGTAGTCCCTGCAGTTCATGGCAAAACAGCAAACTCTCAAGTTGCTTGATGCAGTAGCAGAATTTCTAGTTCCGAGCTTACACCCAGAGTAAATGGTCAAGAGTAGTGCCAGCAAATGAAATGGTATGGTTTGGGTTTTGGAGTTTTTCAAGCATGTTTAAAGCCATCTCTTCTGTAAGTTGGTGGCTATTTAGAAGTAAAGGTTTCTTAGAACATTTATGCATTTATCAAAAAATATTGACATCACAGCAGAGATATGCCAAGTCATAACTCTGGCAAAATATGTGTCAGTCTTCATGTTGAATTAAATGAAAATATTTTTTTAGTTCCTCAGAGATGAATGTGGTTTGTATCTGGTGTTAAAACAACTGATGCTGTTTCTGTTTGTTTGCCTGGGAGGCGGTAGACATGGCAATTCCTAAGCCTTTTCTGATGATAAAATATCTGTTAGTCCATGCCCTGCTCTCTGTCTGCTTGCAGCAGTGTTGCAAAACTGATACTCTCTTGAGGAGGGATCTGCACATCATTAGCATGAGCAGAGGAAATGTGTATTACAAAAGGGATATTTGCCTTTTTGGCAAAGAATGGCATGTTAACAGAATTCTTGAAGTTCATTACTACTTGTGGCACAACAGCCAAGAGTATTCTTTTCCCAAGTGGCCATCTACGTGGGCCTCACAGAAGGTAGTAACTCTTGCACATCTATTTTATAAGTCTTTTTATCACTTACTCTGCGTGTAAAACTTCACTTGTAATTTGACAAGTATTTACCAGCCCTCACTGAAATCTAGTATGTTCTTGAAATAAAATGCTTTCCTGTCAACAACTAGTCTATTAAAATATTGCAGTTGCTGTCAAACTGGTAATGTGAACAACCTTTGATAATGGGTGGTTATGTTCTTTCTGTAGGTTTGGCATTTTTCCACTAATGGACCAGTGTTTTCATCTCCATGCATCTCAAGTTTAACTAAGCAAGAAATATTTTTTGGCTCCCATGACTGCTTTATCTACTGTTGTAACATGGAGGGTAATTTACTGTGGAAATTTGAAGCCACTTCAAGTGTATACGGAACACCATTTGTTTTCCAAAGTGATGACTTAAAGAACAAAATTCTTTTGGCAGCAGTATCTATAGATGGCAAAGTGTGGATCCTGAATGCCAAGAGTGGAACAGCAGAAGGAGTAGATAAGCTTCCAGGAGAGGTTTTCTCTTCCCCCGTAGTATGGGGAACAAAGCTTGTTGTTGGCTGTAGAAATGATTATGTTTATTGCCTGGATTTGTATATAAGAGGAAAAAAAGAACAGCTAAGATGTTAAGCTGCTTTTTTTCTGTTGCTTACATTTGTAAATCAAGAACTCACAGGTGCTCTCTACCTCTCTGCCTATTTTACTGTAGGTAAGAGGTGCTCTCTGCAAACTTCTTGGGTAGCATTTTGCACCAGGCATTGTCCAGAGTAGGTAAAGTGCTGTTTGTTGACTTGCTGTACTGATTGAAGGGGGGTGGCTGCTCAGCACCCAGCCAGAATTTTCACTGCCCCTCCCTCATTTCCCAGCTGTGATTCATCAACAAACATGTTTTGTACAGTTTGGATTTAAGTGTTGTGCTTTGACCTCAGTAGTAAGAAAATGAAAGTCAGTAGTTTGGCTTCAAACACTTGCAGGATTGGGAGAAAACTGTGGTAAGGTGCCATACTCTGCAGGAATAACATGCTTGTCTCCCTGAGGGAGGAATGTATTCCTCTCTCTGAGTCCAGCCTAGCCTGTGCCCCGAGGTTCCTTCCTAGCCTGTGCTTGCTCTTCCATGCGTCAGGCTGGTGTTTGTCTAGTCTGATGACGTTTCTATGCCATGGCAAGGTAACCCAAGTCCTTTTTTGAGTCTAACTGTTCACCTGATTTCCAAAGACATAGCCTGCATTGCATATACTGGGCTGTGACCTGTTTACTACAGTTTGTATAAACTGAGTAGTTCATCTTTTGTGAGCCTAGGCCCTCCTTGGCTTCAGTTCAGCCAAGCATGTATTTAAACTCCACTGAAGTCAGTAGGAGTTACTTCTTGTATTCTGAAGTGGAAATATACTTACACTTGTATATTTATTAAATCTCAATGACAGGTACAGTATGAGTTCCAAGATGAAGTGTGCACTGCTCAAATCAACCATTGTCAAATCGTTTTTTAAGATATTTGAATGAATGCTCTCTACAGTGTCTTTACAGAGAACTATTAATAAAGGGTTGTATAAATTGGTTTTGGTTGTTTTTAATGCCTTAAAAAGAATTACCAGTGGTCTTAGTAATGTGAATCAAGCATTTGAAGTGACAAAAGTACACTTAACACAGAGCATCTTCCTCATAATGAGTCTTCTGAAAGAACTATAGTAGAAACTATTATCTCACTTTCTCTGATGAGCCATCCACTTTGGATTCTAACATCTTGAATGAAAAAGTAAAGTAGAAGTTGCACTGGCTATGTTGCTTCATCACGTCTGGTTCCTCCATTTTATCGTTAGCAGAAATGCATAGGCAAGATGCTTGTAGCACTGTAAAAAGGTCTATTTATAAAGGAAACGTGAACTACCCGTTTAGCAAAAGGAGACACAGAATACTTAACACCATTGATTAGATAATTTTGACTGGGTTATAGTTTAATAAGAATTAAAATGACATTAGTATAATAAACAATTGCACTTTAAAACATTTGAAAAATTAAAAAAAGTACACAACAAATACCCCACAATTATACATCTTACAGTTTTTATACATTACTATATGAACATAGAGGTTAATTGTGTATAACCTTGTCAGGAGAAATGGTATTTTGTGTGTATAAGTTACAAAAAATTGCGACAATATACTACATAGTGGTTTGTTCGGTTCTTAAAACATTTTTGCTGTTTTAAACTCAGTAGTAATGTTTTGGTTTTATTTTTACAGATTTCCAACACTTTATCAGAAATGGTTGCAACAAAGCTAAAGCAAAGTAACACTTCACTTCATTGGTATTTAGTGCAAATTTTTGTTAATTTAACATGAAATGTCACTGTTTAACATGTACACTTTAGAAATGTTTCCACCAAGTACTGTACATAATACAGTTTCCATTATTACACTAGATACCTTTATGGTTGAAAAAAACCTCTGCTTTGAAGCTTTAGATTAAGACCATTCTTAATGAAAGCTCTATTCTATGTGCTATAAATGTATTGTATTGGAAAATTGCATCCTCATGTCATGCACAATAGCACCTAATTTTGCTATGCTTTTCAGAATACCAGTATCTTTAATTCTTTAATCCTGATTTACTTTACCTTATCTGTATTTCCGCCTGGCTCCTTCTCCCAAGAAATAATCATAAAGATGGATTTCAGGCAGTTTAGTTCTTCTAATTACAAATAAACACTGCAGGCTTATAAACTCAGAAAAAGTGTAAACTTACTTAAGCAGCACTAACTCATGGTGCTAGCAGAGCAAAAATAATCATGGGCCCAATGCTTTCTTCAGATAAGCTTGCAGAGGTTTGACTTTGAAGGCATTTGACAGCAGCATTGCCCCGTCTCTGTACAAAACGTTTTAAATACTTATATTAAGGGTAAAAAGTTCCTTTAGAGATTCTGCTTTTACGTATGAAACTGAGCAAACCTGATGGCTTAAGAGACCCAAAAAACCCTATCTTGCTGCTGCGTAGGTACTCAATCTAACATGTCCATTGTGTTTGTGCTATTGTAACCGTGATCCTGAACCGTTGTTTTCTGTTTGGTGGGAAATAGTGTATTCAAGGATGACTTTTTCTGACAAGCCCTTTTTGATTCTTGGAACGGGAGGATGCGGCAGGTTTCATCCTGTTTTCTGCATAATGTAAAGTGCTACTCCTCATGCTGCATACAGCAGTTTGGCTAGAGTACTTCCACGAAACATACGTGGTATCATTCTATAATGATGCAATTTCTTCTCATGAAAATGTCTCCTTTTATGATGTTGTAGGCTTAAATGTTGCCTTATGGTTATAAGAAGGAGACGTCCAAATTTGTTAAAGACTTCCTTGTAAAACTCAGTTGTGTTATAGATTTATTTACTAGGGTGACTTCTAAAAATGTAGACCTAGCTATTTCTGTGGGATGTTGAGGACGGTACATTTTTTACTACATTATGCGCTTTATCCTTTTTTGTAAGAGGGAGGGAGTGAACATTTCTGGTTTAGTTACAAGAAGTAATAAAGCGTTCAATTGCTACAGCAGATACCTGAGATGGGGTAAGTAAGTAAACTTCTTTCTGAAGTGTTCTGGCCGTATTGGTGAAGGTACAGGAAGTTACCCTAACCACCCGAAGTTACACGTGGAGTAAAATCGGGAAGAACACAGAGTTAAAACTCTCAGGACTCTCACTGACTTAGCTTTCGGTTCCCAGTTAACCTCAGTTCTGCGAGTCTCACTCCTGTGGGAACTTACTGAGACTTAGTTCTGCAGCTACATAAGCACAGGAATAGTTTCACTTATTTTAGTTCCAGTCGATTGTTTTCAAGTTGTAATCTGCAATCACTGTCTCTATGCACCTTAAATATGGCCAAGCACAAACAGTGATGCACTTAAATGACTCCCTGGCTTCTTTCTGAAAACTTTCTGACTTTTATTTTAATAATGTTTTTCTGTTAAGTAGTATGAATTGTTTACTTCCTGGGAGTGAGGGAATAGAGACATAGTACATTAATCCTACGACGAAAGAAATTACCTCAGTGTTTGGATGGTACGGTCTTTCTACTTATCAGTTGCAGGTGGAAAGATACCTCCCAAAGTTCTTCATTAGGGAAGAAGCTTTCAAGTAGCAGCTAGAACTGACAGTTCATACAGTTTAACATGTAAAAAAAATTAGGAAGAAGAGAATTGAACATGCATCTTGCCTTAATTTTCAACAATGGAGTTGAAAACAATCTCTGAGATCTCCACTTAGGTGTAGAGACCTAAAATTCCAGAACCGAATACTCATAGAATTTAAGGAGCTTCTGAACTGAAATTCTGGCCCTTTTTATGATACTCACTAAAATTTACATCCAGTATCTGAGCATTCTTAAATTTTTGAGAGAGTCTGGCTCTGAAATTTTTCCCATGAACCTCATTTAGCTATTTGTCAAAGCAATGGAATATATGACTTGAGCAGACTTTACAGTGAGCTAGAGCAAAATGGTAATCAGTTCGGTTTTCAGTCCTTCAGTACATGCATTTTCAGTTTTGTCATGTGTAAAGAGCTGAATAAATAAAAAGAAAGCAATTAATAGCCAGCAATAGAGATGTAACTGTACAGTTTACTTTATGATCTGCGGACAGTCACTCCAGGCTTTTGCTTTCCTCTTGGCTAACGCAAGCCAGGCCGGTTCTGTTGACACAGGGTTAGCATCAGGCGTAGAGAATCTCTTGGCCACCTCCTTTGCCAGTGGGGTTGACGGAACAGAATCTGAAATTTCCACTGTTTTTGATGGGGTGGGGAGGGGAAGAGAAAAAAAAAAAACATTAATTGAACCCTGTACTTCGGCCAGGGTTCTAGAGATTTCGCTTCATTTCTGTGAAGATGATCTAACACTTTGTATTTATTTCCAACCCTCTTAATTAAATCTTTCTTTTTATTGTATTTGCAAACTAAGTTGGGAGGAGCAGCGTTTCCTTTTTCAGCGGTGACTCCAAGTAATGTAACTGATGAAAATAGGGACAAAACTTTCGGTCTCTGTGAGAGCCAGAGAAAACATTTCCAATTTGCTACTCGTCTTCTTTACGTAAACTAATTTAATTACATCTGCAGTGTAAAAACAATGGGAAATAAAGCTGGATTCTTTTTTTTTCTCTCTTTGGCAATGCAATTGCTGAGCACATGTAACCCATGCCTCTTCAGATTAGAGTTCTTAAATATGCAGAGAGAAGAAAGCGGTCCCGTAGTTTCTGCCTCAGCTAACTGCTCGCTTGAGACTATCCTGGAGAAGAAATGAACCAGCTTTCTTCAGTAGCCGTTTGTCACATTTTCTTTAAAACAGTGGATTTAAGGCAGCCTTCTCAGCAAGCAAATGTGTTGAATAAGCAACTGATTTCTAATAAGCAACTTTACAGAGCAAAACCATAAAGGAGTATTGTAGAAGTTGGATGGGAAGATTGCTAAATTCTGGGACAGTGAATGCCCTTGAAGGCAGCCCGGATAGAAATGAGGCTTATCTGGAACCTTGGAGTAAATCTAAAAACCTTAGTTACAAAATAACTCCTCACACATCCCCCTGCCCACTTACTGGTTTTTTTTTTTTTTTAATGAGCCAAAAAGCTTTTTTTTTTGTTAAATGTTCATATTCAGTCCAAATTACTTTTGGTCACATTTCATTTTCAGGTTTTGAATGTTTTAAAAAGCTTTAAAATTGCATGGATGGCAAAAGTTGTTTCTTTTTAGCACATCTTTGATGGTGTATTTTTAGCTATAAGTAAATGAACAGTAGTAGCATCTATTGTTAGACAGACACTTTGAAAAGCTACTTATTTTAAAGGTTATGGTCATTTATGCTACTTTAAAGGTTACACCCTCTTACCAGTTCCTGTTGTACAAGGCTCAAGTGCAAGTCTGAAATACACCAACTTCTTCAAGTTTGGGGTGTTTTTTTAATGTCCTTAGAGAAGGACTCCGCAAACTTTTAAACATGTTCTAGCCTGGTCTTCTACCTTAAATGCTCTCCTAATGGTGGGAAACCCAAATCAGTGTCATCATCCCATAACTACTGGTACATAGTGCATTTGTAGAGTTGATAGTGGCTACCTGGCTACAAATGTAGCCAGTAATCACACAGAAATCCAGTCACTATTTCCTTTAGGGCCACCACAGTTCTATGCTTTCACTTCAGGTAACTCAAAATGGGTAATTCCTCCTCAATTTCCTCCTGAAACTCTCATTCTAGTGCAGACAGACCGACCAAGGATAATTGGGTTTTGGCCCTTCTTTGATCTAATTTGGCATCACTATTGCGCTAGAGTTTGATTTCTGCTAGAATTGACCGTAACATCAGACTACTGAATGTTTTGGGGTAGGGCAGGGCTGCAGTCGAGTGCTGTTAGAGGTTGAGGGGAATGCTGTAAAGCAGCTCCAGCTGCCCACCTCCACAGCCAGTCGGGACACTGAAAGGGAGCATGAAAGTTTTGGGCAATTTGTGTGAGATCTTAGAATGGTTTGGGTTGGAAGGGACCTCTGAAGATCATCTAGTCCAACCCAAGGTGCTGCAAGTGAAGGTCTCGGGGATGCCTGCACTGGCGTGCAGCTGCAGTGTGGACGTGGAGCTGCGGAACCAAGGGAACACAGGCACGCGTGGGGGTTGTTCAGCTTGGAACAGTCTGTAGCACAGGAGTAGCACTGGTTTAGCCTCTACTATTACAGGTCAGATAAATTAATTACCTCATTACCTTTCAACAGTTGCATTCCTTATGGAATTGACTTGCAGTGGTACTGAATAGATTCAGCTGGTATGTGGATTTACTTTCGAAGAAGCCCACACTACTTTGCAACCTGTAAAAAGGTTTCTTCGACACCTTGCGCTCTTCTACAAAACCTATTGCCTGGGACTAACGTTGGCGAGAGAAATACTCAGCAAGTCTCTCTTTCAACAGTCACCTTATGTTAAGTCCTTTGGGGAAGTTTTATTTATTTGTATTTATTTTAACATGCTTGCTTTTTGAGTATGTAATTGTTTCAGCTTAACTGAAGTGACAGTGAGGTTCTGGTTCCAGCCTTCCATACCAAATACTTGACTGGGAGGGAGAAGTCCTACATTCAAAGAGACAGGCTACCTTCAACTGAATTGAATAGGTTTTGCATTTTTTAATGAAATGAGACTACT